ATCTAGAAAAACGAGAAAGAAGAGTCGGGATCAGTTAAGGTGAATTTAGTGCGAGACGAGGAAGGGCATAATCAACAAAGAATAAATCGACTTATAGTCACGGGACAATGGTGTCGAAACAAAGAGTCGTGACAGTACATCACCCATCCTCATGACAAGAAGAGAACAAGGGCGAAAAAGGTCTAGAAGAACCAAACTCGAAGTCAATCTAAGAAAGCGCGAGTCGACTTGGAACCAGAAGTCGACGGGAGGCAAGAGTGGAATAAACAGGAAATCTAAAGGGAAACTCAAGCAAAAGAGATCTAACATAGCTCGTGTAGAGCCATTCAAAGAACACCAAGAACACCAAGAGCACAAGTTTTGAAACCCAGGAAAATCCAGAAAGTATACAANAATCCCTTATTTACGGAGAGTTATTGAGAGCGACCCCCTAGATGCTTAAGCGAGAGCGTCAATCTAGAATAGAATGATTAATGTCCCGGTGTGCAAATAGAACTTGAATTAATTATCCCCGACTCCCTAGCTTCTTTATCCTTGTTTCGTTTATATTTCTAGGTAGATTATTGATTTTTATTATTTCTTAGTTGGTAATTGCTCAACCCCCCTATTTGATTAGCGTGTTTAGGATTTATTTTCCTTTTATGTGTTATCAATACCAAAGCTAAATTCCGAACCGCCTTCCTCGTGAAATTGACCCGGGGAACGAATCGTTCGTTTCGGTACTTGGTAAATAAAAATATTTGTGCTACAACAGCTGTTTAATGCACTATCATTTTATTTATTACGTTTCATTTATTAAATGATAATTAGTGTTACCACCCATGTTTTAAATACCGTACCGTACCGATCGGTAATATCGGATACCGGCCATTGGTACAGTACAATTACACTCAAAGTACCGGATTTACGGTTATACCGGGATCATACCGCAAAAACCGCAAAATACCGGTCCAAAATACCGGCCAATAAAAAAAATTTAATTTAAAAAAACAAAATTTAAATTGGTAGTTAAAATGTTTAATTTTTATCTCATTGAGAAGTTGTAATTAATGATTATGGTCATTTATCTTTTACTTTTTTGCATTTGATATTATATATTTTTATGTATATTTATATATATCATTATATTTGTTAATCCGGTAATACCACCGATATTATTGGTCCTATCGGTAATACCGCGTACCGGTGACTTGACCGGTATGACCACCGGTACGGTATTTAAAACACTGGTTACCACTTTATTAATTTTAATGAAGTAGCTTCACGTTGAATGATATGTGTTTTCATTTTTTTTTGGCAACATTAATTAAATATTTAGAAACTGCTTTACAACATGAATTTTTTCTTTAATTTATATTCTTTCTTTTATTTTTCATTTAATTACAATAAGTATAAAAATTTAATTAGAATCATAAAAAGATATAATTTATTTGTTAATATAAATATAGTTACATAAAAAAAATATTTGCGTTACTTTGCAAACATTTACTTAAAAATATATATCAAGCTAACAATGTCAAATATATTTCATAAATCAATCAACTATTTTTAATCTATGTACATAGAAAAGAACTTATTCTGGGGGAGTGAGTGGGATTATCATGTTTTTATCATCAATAATTAGTAATGTTTTTAATTGAACTAATATTCATGCTTAATTATAATAGATGCATATTTTTTTAATAATTGCATGGCTTTGTTTATCTGACCAGAACTTATTTACTTGACTAAAAAATATTTTTATTTTATTATTATTTCTATTTTTATTATATTTTAAATCACTTTAATAAATATTTAAAGCATTAGTTATTTTTATTTTTTAAATAATTATAAGTTAAACATAAATAAGAATGACAAAGTATGTTGATATTCTTATAAGTAATTTTACATATTAACTGCTAAATAAAAATAGCAAACATATTTTTACAAACCGCTAACACAATCAGCTGGTCAAAACAGCTAATGCAATCCGCTGGCCAAAGCAACTAATAGAATCCGCTAACTGCTAACAGCTATCCGCTGATTACCAAACAAGACCATAAGCTTTCTAAATTTATGTCATTCTAACTACTCCACTTACTCTTCCCCCACATTTTTCCTTATCTTATTCATTCCATCGAATTTTTTTTGTTCTTTCTGTCATGGAATGGGAGAATAATGAGGGGCAGATTTTTGCAGACGGCGGTTGCCTCGGCCATTATTGGGTAGCGGATGAATGTTCATCATTTGGGTTCCGTCGACCTGCGGTTCGAGATTGTAACGAAAATTAGGGATCTACCATTTTCAGTACTCCTTCTATTTCCTGTAAAAGATCTCCACATTTGCCTCTTCTTGATGAAATGTTGACATACTAATTCATTATTTCTTTACATAATTTTTAGGCATCCACAAATTTTTAGCCTGATGGTGGTGTTTTGAGAAATTAATTCGTGATGTGAACGTGTGTTGTGACCGCAGGGGCGAAACTACATTGACACATAGGGGGCAATTTCTC